CTCCTTCTTGCAGCCCGGGTGGAACAGTCTCTGGCTGAAGGAGCTACCCAGTGCTGTCAGGGCGGGCTGGAAGGGGTGGGAGGGACTGTTCATAGCTTTTAGTTTAGCGAGCATCCTCCTGTTGCCCACCTCCTCCAGAGTGTCCAGGGAGCATACAGATAGATAGATAGAGAGAGAGAGAGAGAGAGAGAGAGAGAGAGAGAGAGAGAGAGTGACACTGACATTCACCTTTACCTGATTAAACACGCTAAACCCATCCATGTACGACATTGTACGTTTATTTTCTCAATTTTTTTTTGTTTGTTTTTGGGAGGGTCGGGGGGGGGGGTCTGGACTTACTGTTTTTGGTGGAGAATCTTCATTGGAGTTTTATCCGCGTGCTTTGAGAATTTTGGAGATTTACAAAAAAATATATTTTTCCCATTGCATTTCAAATGGCATTTTTTCATACATGTGGTAGGGGGTCCATGGTCCTTTGTGGCCCCCCAAGTAGCACTGATGAAAAATTTGTGGCCCCCTCAATCATTTAAATTGTCTATCTCTGATGCATTCATTATCCTTGATGTTCAGCTGAAGGTCATTCTCGTAGGCCAAAGTTGCATTTATCAAAGCCGTTTGAGCATTTACCTGGATTAGATATGAAAGACATCAAAGCCTATCTTTGGGGAAGCTGTGTTTCGCGATGCCACTTTTTAACTAATTTTTACACAAGAATTCTAACCTTAATTTACAGGTTCCGTTTTTTGTTCAAGAATCCTGTGACACCTGCTGAGCTGTTGACCCTCTCACTGCAGGTCAATCTGAAACCATACCATAGTGATATTGGTTCCTTTTCTGCTTCTCTATTTAACTTGTTCCACATGATTCAGGAAATATAATATTGTTGTGCCAATGCCCATCACGCCAATGAGGAACTTAATGGCTTGCCTGCTAGCATACACAACAAACAGACTGGTCTTTGACCACAAAATATCATGAGTATGTGTAGGAGACTGTTTATGTTATTCAATTGATTTTCTGTTTTGTTGCATTATTTTCACTTTTCTGAGTGTCAGTGAAGTGATCATTAATTTACGTTTTTTCGGAGGCGGCCCTTGAACGCCTCTCGAGTCAGACGGCAGTTGAGAAGGCGCGTCGTCCAACCTCGACGTGTGTGTATCTGCTTCAGTGTGAAACGTATTAATAGTGTATGTTTTAAAAATAAAACAGCACGACAGCTCTCTTTGTTTCGGAGCTGCAACATATGTGATACTTTTTTTTGTCCCAAACAAGAAATATATTTATCCACGAACAGCACATAATTCTCTTCATTCAAATATAAATCCTGAAATAAAGTAAATGTCAACGATTATGTTGCTCTACATTTTATTTATTTGTTTATTTATTTTTGCAATCACTAAGCACATAAAATCATACGACCATTTCATTCAATTTGGAACGAACGTTACCATGTTGCATTTCCGTCATTCAGCTTTATCTCATCACTTACATCATCACTTCCTCATTGGGGTTGCAGATGAGCTGGGGTTTATCCCAACTGATTTGGGGCAAAACAAAGTACACAGGTACACCCTGCTTTGGCTGCCAACGTATGCACAGAAAAACAAACATTCATACTCATGTAAGTTGAGGGGTTCGTTGTTTTTCAGTGGATGGCTCTTCTTTACGAATGACAAAAGGAGAGATGGAATCCTTTCATGCAGTTTATTAAAGGGAGAAAGAAAAAAAAAACGACTGCACCTCCGAACAGATGAACGAGAACACAACCCCCTTTCAGTCACGAAAACACTTCCTGCTTCTCTTTAGCCAATCAGACGCAAGCAACATAAAAATGTTTCAACAATTATTAAACAGAATATAATTTAGATAACTATAACATAAAAGAATATAAGGCTCAAATATAAAATGAAAATAATTGATAATTTAACATAAGCTTACACTCACATTCATTATCCAAAAAGCCAATTTGTAGGCTTCAATTAACCTAACATGTTTTCTGTGTAGGAGACTGGACTGTCAGAATTGTTTATGTTATTTATTCCTTTGTTGCGTGTTAACCCCCCCCCCCCCACACACACACACACACATAGAAATTATTTTGTGATTTCCTAGTTTGATTTTTTGTTCTGGTCGATTATATTCGATTTTCTTTGTGTCATTTAAGTTATCGTTAATTTACGTTTTTTGGAGGCGGTCCCTGAACGCCTCTAGAGTGGAATGACAGAAGAGAAGGCACGGAGACGGAGAAGGACGTACCTGTATTGGCTGAGACTGTGAAAAGCATTAATAAAGTACAGTATACGTTTTAAAAACCAACACCACAGCTCTTCTTTTTCGGACCTGAAACATCTGGAATGTGGGTCTGACCCACTCATTAACTTCCTTTTTGATATTGTTGAACAACTGTTCTTTCGTTTTGATATGGCTTTCTGTTTACATTTTCGAGCAAAGATTTCTGCCTGTATGCAATCAAATTCACATCTGGCCAAAATTCAGAGATTGCAATTTGTATTCCTCCTCACACTGCTTGTTTTACAGATCTGCTACTGAATACACATTCCCCTCTCTCTCAAGCTTCTGGGGCTCATTTCTTGGAACTAGTTATTGATGGGAGCAATTATCATGGAGGCTAACGTGATTGGTGGCACATCAAGCGAGACCTAGTGAGGGATTTACTGCTGTCACTGTACCCAAGGGCCAAAACATAATTACACAAAACCAATCTTTATCGGACCTGTAATATTAGGTGGAGGCTTTTCAAATAGGATACAATCTCATTATGTCCATTCATGACACAAAAGTGTCAAAACATTGTTTATTTTTGTTTATAATTGTTATTTTTTTTCCATCTCACAAAAAACAAGATGCCAGAATTTACAGTATATCAACTTTCTCTTTGAAGTTGTAATTTTCCATCCATCCATTTTTTGATCCGCTTTATCCTCACAAGGGTCGCGGGGGGTGCTGGAGCTTATCCCAGCAGTCTTTGGGCAGTAGGCGGGGGACACCTTGAACCGGTTGCCAGCCAATTGCAGAGTTGTAAGTTTGTCTTGTCTAATAGAAATACAAATGTTTGTTCTCATGGCTATACAGTTGTACAGTACTGTATATCTATCAATGCCCCCAAATGACAACCATTCAATTAAGGTGTTGTGTCATTTTAAAATACATTCACAACTGTATGGACCTAAATTTCCTTCAACTAAACCAAAACAAAACAGAGCTAGTTGTTCATGGTTAAAAAGAAAAACTGTGTTCGGATCGCATTATGCATCTGGGCATTCCGGTGCACCAAGTTGCCCCGCCCACAGGGCACCTGACAATTTGGTCACCAAAAGTAGACTGTGCTCAGCAACACGGATGGATCCCCATTTTCGTGCCGTGGCAAGTCTAGATAAGGGTACAGTAGTTGTTTAAGTGGTAAACCGCGCTACGGGTCGCTCAGCGTTTCAGCGGACCGAGGGTGTTTTTTTATCACATACCGCCGGCGCACCTGACAATTTGGTGAGAAAGAAGTTGACAAAATTTGAAACTACCGGTACCTAAAACAAGGTGTATATAGTGGCGCTGGTGGTATAACGTGATTTCGGTGTATTTGATTAAATATGAGGATTGGCTGGGAAAACATTACATTCCATCTCACAATGGCACACCAAGGTGCAAACGACCTGTTAAACTAATTTTTACCAAAATACCAAAAGAAAGGAAACTCCACCCATGCGCACAGTTAGATTCTTTTAAAAACAAAGAACAAGTCAGAAACCTTGGCATATGCTTCAAGAACATCCAGAGTGAATAATTACTTATTCCAAGCAGACCAGGAGAATCTTAATCATGCTTTTATCTCCAGCGAGTTTGATAATTGTAGTGGTCTTCTGACTGGATTCAGACTGGGTTCACTTAGTGGAGCCCCGAATTGAAAGCACACATGTTGAAGCAGCATTTAGTTGTTGAGCTGCACATAAAGCTGCAAACAGAAGTGAAGTCAGCCCCTAATTTAAATGCTTTTAAATCCAGGTTAAAACTATTTTGCTTCCCCCCCCCCCCCATACCTATGATTAAGGCTATCTAAACATTTTAAAGTCCTTTAAGTCTTTTACTTACAGGTATTTTAGAAAACTCTTATTTCTTTGTTTAATTGTTTTATTTTAAAGTTTTCTATTAATGTGTTTTAACGTTGTCAATGTATGTTGTTTTAATAATTTTTAATAATCTACTTTTGTTTTCTCTGCTTTGCTTCTGAATGTCATTAACTCTTGTGTTTGTAAATGCTTGCAGGTGTTGTGCCTTTGCTTGTGTGAAGCACATTGAGCTACCGCGTGTGGATGAAATGTGCTATATACTGTAAATAAAGCTACCTTGCCTTGCCTAATACACTAACTTCATCTTCCAATAACATCCTCATTTGAATATGATGATGGTGATGATGATGATGATGATGACAGCATAAGATGGGTAAAACATGATGTTTTTCCTCATAGTCGTCCTCCCCGTGTCCCAGGCCTTTTTCAGTACGAGAACCCTCCAGGCAGAACACTTCATTTAGCCTGCCGCAGTGGTCTTTCGGGCGGGGCCACCAGTCTGTATAAGAGGACAGAAATCATCCGACGGATGGACTTTCACATGTGGACCTGTTCACGTCTTGTGCTCCTCCACTCGTCCCGCCTCCTCTCTCGTTGCGACCTCGGCACTTCTGCGCCCACACATCCATGCAGAGTTCTGCCCTTTTCCGCGGGCTGCTGGTGGTCAGTCTGCTGGTCCTCTTGTGTCACAGCCAGACATCCCAGGAAGTGTCTGTTGAGGACTTGGAAGGAGACAGAGACGAACCAGGAACAGACCGAGATTTGGTTCGTGCGCCTTGTTTGTTTGTTTGTTTGCTTGTTTTAATTTTGGTGCTTCCCATATTTAGTACACTCTGAACTGGTTGGGAGCCAATTGTAGGACAAATAAGATGTTCTGTTGATACATTCTTTTTATTCATAAAACAAAATATTGAATGCCCCAAATTAATTAATACTGTACTCTTTCTCAGTGCATGCATATCCGGGGCACAAAATGTATACTTAAACTGTACTGTATATACTTTTCTTTTGATGACAGCAATAGTTTACAAAAAAAAAATCTGGAATACTTAAAAGCTAATATTTATGCATTATTGACTCCCCTAAAAATCCCTTCAAATGGACGTGCTATACGTAATTTGGGTCGATTGAGTGAAGGTCAAGTTTTAATTGAAATTCAGAAAATTAAAAACAACATTTTCAGTTCTGCACAACCAACTTGAAATAATTACTTTATTTACGAATTTCATTCCTCACGTTGCGTGACCCGCTGATGGCAAGCGCCCTCTGTATGAACGTGCATACAATTTCGTTTTGACCCATCTTCCACATAAATTCACCTTGTGTTCTCTTCTGTTGATCTTACTGTGCAGGTCGAAGCACTGGATGTTTTGCTTAGCAGGATGCATAATCGGATTTCCACAGAGAAGAGAGGCAACATCCCTCTGGTAAGGTGGTGTATTGACACTTTTATGCAAATAAGCCCCTTACACAAATCCGTCTTGTTTTCTGTAATGAAAGGCTGAATCCATTGTAGCGACCTGATAGTCAATACTCATTTGGGGCGATGTTTCATTCATTATTCTATTGTTGCTAATTAAACCAGGCGACTGCCTGCCTAATTAAAAGATAAAGTAAACAGACTTTCTGAGCGCAGTTACAGAACAACTTAAATTGCTTTCCATATTAAATTAGCTGAGACAGAAAGAAAGAAATACACAACCTCCCAATCCTCTTGACACGAATACAGACAGAACTTAGTTGCAAATCAAGCAGATGAAGAGGAAATGTTTATTTCACTGACTAATGGTGAAATTCATTACATTTCCCACATTTATACACGACATTAATACACTAACTTGTCTGTGCGTGTCTGCGTGTGTGTTATTATCGTCTATGTTCTACCTTTAGTGTGGAATGGGCGACCGGTGTGCCATGAAGTTTGGGCCGCGAATTGGGAAGCTCTGCGACTGCGGCAGAGGAGCCAACTGCAATTCCTACCTGCTCAAGTGCATCTGAACCACTCTTAATTTGAAAATCAAGTTTGCAGGAAGAATGTGCACATTTTTAAAACAACAAATCTTCATTCTGTTGTCGGCCAGCAGTGCCAGCATGATTTGATGGCGTGTACCCTCCAGGTTGTAGCATGTAAGGTTCAGATTCAATAAAGAAATTCATCAACATTTTACATTTGATTTTTATTTGCACAGCATTATGATTATATGCAAAATTCAAAAGATATATATACACATATACATATATGGACATGCACATAAGTACTTTAATACGTAAATACACACACACACACACACACACACACACACACACACACACACACACGCAAATAAGTGAACCGTGAATTAGTGAGGGATCACTGTATCGTAAAAGGTTGAGATTAGCAAATCCATGCAATTTTCTCTTTTGGCAGTATCAATGCTTTAAAGCTGGCAATTTAACAGCAATAGTGAACAAAAAAAAAGGTCGCTGGTCCGCGAACACCATGTACTTGTCTCAACTGATCCGTGATACAAAATGAGTTGGGGACCACTGCAGATGGAACGTTCTTGAGCTTGTGTTTGTCCTCATGGGCTAAAAAAAAACCCCACAAGATTAGTTTCAAGTGACTTCTAGTTTTTATCAATAGAATTACTGAATCCTGAATTAGTTTGCTTTATTTACTGAACAGACCGACTATTCCAAAAAGGGACACCCATGGCTCTGCCAGTGTTGAACTACACATTACAGATTCTTTGTATTGTGTTCTGAGCTGAATATTTAAACTAATTATTTAATTAACATGCAATTTGCACATCTTTCATTTTGTTAATGATGTTACGGTCTTACTGATGGATTATTTCCCAGGAAGCACAAAACAAATGTCCACTTAAATGACAATCTTTGCGAAAGTATAGGATTCATCACCAGTGAGTGCATGCAGCATGCAGTATTATCCGCAGAGCATTTCTGAAGATTAAGCCAGGAGAACATGAATTGCATCTCCCACTTGGATGGATTGTTACATGCTGAATGACATAAAAAAAACTCCAAAACTATTTTGGTGGTTAAGCATGTTTGTATGCCAACATAGAGAAGAATTAAAAATGAGGGTATTAATAAATCTGAAATCACTGAAATAGTATCTAGAAATTACATTAATTACATTTGAATTATTCATTTATCTATCCATCCATCCATTTTCAACCCCACTTATCCTGGAGAGGGTCGCAGGAATTGCTGGAGCCTATCTCAGCTGACTTTGGGTGAAAGGCGGGGTAAACCCTGAACTGGTCGCCAGTCAGTCAGAGGGCACATGTAGAGACGAACAACCATTCACACCCACATTCATCATTTTAATCAATAAACACTTAGAGGGAGGCAGACAGATGGAAGGACATGTGTGTGGTCGGGGTGAGGGGGTGCATATGACTGTAATGTAGTATCCAATGTGTGTAGAGTGTATACTGTCTTGTCTTGTATGTAATTGTCCTAATTATGTTGTGCTGTGTATGTGTATGTTTTTTGCTCAGTGTATGTAGCAGCACAGAGGGACTGTCCTCCGAGACAAGTTTCTCCTATGGGAGACCTAATAAAAAGTCAAATCAAAATCAAATCATTCACACTGTCATTGAGTGGGAACTGAACCCACGCTGCCCGCACACAAGTCGAGCGAGTGTACCATGACACCATCAACGACTTAATTTAATTTATTAAAAAAAAACAACAACAACCAAAAAAAAAAAAAACCCACACAGCTTTTCCATTTCATTTTTTTCTTGGCGATGACGTTTTTCAAAATGATCCATCATGCACATCTACGAGCAAAACATGTTATTTGGTTCTGTGTTCAATATGACTGCTACTTGTACCGAGCCAAAAAGCTGGTGTAAATGGAAACGCATTTTATCCAAGGGCAGCCCCTTGTGAGGATAAAGCAGATCGGAAAATGGATGGATGGATTTCATCCACATTTAAATTTGAAATTCAAATGTAACCTGACCTGTCTGACCGACTGTAACCTTCTTTTCCACTGACTGCAAAATGTGTTTGCATCTATTTACAGATGGAAGCATACTAATACAGACAGTGACAGTAAATGTAAACGTATTGCAAATATTTACTGTATATGAAAACGCTTATTTTTAATGTAAACATATCGCTAGCTAAATTTCCCAAGGAGGGGAGTAATTCTAGACGCTTCCTCCACTACACTACAGTGAAACCCCTGAATACTCACGGCTCGGCATCACTTAAAAAAAATCAATATTATTGAATACACTGTGGGACGCCCGGTAGTCCAGTGGTTAGCGCGTCAACCTCACAGTGCAGAGGGTTCGATTCCAGCTCTGGCCTTCCTTGTTTGCATGTTCTCCCCGTGCCTGTGTGGGTTTCCTCCGGGTACTCCGGTTTCCTCCCACATTCCACAAACATGCGTGGCAGGTGAATGGAACACTCTAAATTGTCCCTAGGTGTGAGTGTGAATGTGGATGGTTGTTCGTCTCTGTGTACCCTGAGATTGGCTGGCAACCGGTTCAGGGTGTCCCCCACCTACTTACTGCCCGAAGACAGCTGGGATGGGCTAAAGCACCCACCGGGACCTGTGTGAGGATAAGCGGATCAGAAAATGGATGGATGGATGAATACACTACAATTAACTTTGGATATAATCACAATATACAGTAAGTACTCTGGCTTCCACCCACAGTCCAAAACCAAGACAGCTGTCTGAATGTCACTATCAATGGTTGTTTGTTTTTATTTGACTATGAGGAAAGGCGCAATAGTAAATGGATGGATGGATGGTCAAAATTATGGAACTTTTCAATTTTTATGTAAAATGGACATAAGTGTGCCTGCATATTGTATTCATGCATATAATGACTTCTCATAAACAATAAAAATGCTTTATCATGCCAGCAAAACTCTTTGCCGCTTCATAGAGTACTTAGAGTAAGAATTGGTGCATTTTTTTCATTTTTGAGTGTGATTTCACTGCAATACTCATTGTACCAAATTGTTGTACTCCACACACACTTAACTACCTGCTACCAGAAGATGGCAACGTTTCATCACATAAGTACCGTACACCGCTTCGGCTTCATTTTGGTGTTAAAGCTTGTCAACTTCCCCACGTCTGAATTGACATGTGGGTGTATAGCATGACGATTTATCTTGTTTTGGAATATTTAACATGCCATTTTTCATTAAACAGTACTTTTGATTCTGTCGTTTGTGCTGTAGGTGTGCAAATGGTGAATGACAAAAGTATCCTAATTTGTGCAGAAATAAAGATGTCTTATTTTGGACAAGTCTAGGCTAGGCTCATGCTTTTATCCGTCTCAAAACTGATGCGAGCTCTGATGTCATTTGTTACTTGTATTTTCAGCCGAGTGCATATTTTCATTGTATGTGGTGATTTTTATGATATGTTGCGATGCATTATTTACATTGTAAGGGATATGTTCGACTGGTTAGCACGTCAGCCACACAGTGCACTGGTGGGGGATTCAATTCGATTCCTGTGAGAAGTTTGCATGTTCTCCCCGTGCCTGCATGGGTTTTCTCCGGGTACTCCGGTTTCCTCCCACATTCCCAAAACATGCATGGCAGGCTGAGTGAACACTCGAAATTGTCCCTAGGTGTGAGTGTGAGCTGGATGGTTGTTTGTCTGTGTGTGCCCTGCGATTGGCTGGCAACCAATTAAGGGTGTACCCTGCCTGCTGCCCGGAGACGGCTGGGATAGGCTGCAGCACGGCACGCCCGCAACCCTTTTGAGCAGGGTCCCCAACCGCCGGTCTGCGGACCGGTACCGGTCCCCAGGGCATTTGGTACCGGGCCGCACAGAAAGAACTTGCCTTTATTCTGTTTTATTTATTTCGGAATACGAAAGATGTTTTATTTTGAAAAATTACCGAATTCTCCGTTACACCCGTCTGTGTCACGCTTGACACACGTCAAGCCACGCTTCTCCGTCACGTGACCGATTACGCTAAAAACAAAACGCCAGAGCTCGCAAAATGAGTAAAAAAAACTGCTGGAGATCGCAAATGACGGCGGCCTTAAAAGTACGTTCGAGACAACTGGATGAAAGTTATGTCTGAATATTAGTAGACTGGACATAAAAAACACACTTGAGGTGTCATTGTCTCCTATTACCCCGAGATGGGACCGTCTGGTTGCAAAAAAATCAAGCTTGGGGCTGTGGTGAGTCGTCATTTTCATGCACTTTGAATTTGCATTGTATCATATTTTGAAGGCATTAAACATTACCATCGCGATCAGAGTGTTGCGGCCAGATTAGACGCTCCTTGTGTTTATTGTTATATTTCGAAAACACCACAGTTTTCAAGCAGCTCATACCATATTATTTTGTTGTATTATTTCCGCCACACCTTAAATGCCGGTCCCTGAAAATATTGTCTGACATAAACCGGTCCGTGGGACAAAAAAGGTTGGGGACCCCTGCTTTTGAGGATAAAGCGGATCGGAAAATGGATGGATGGATAATAGATGAGTACAAAAAAAGACTGTAGAAAACACATTTGAAAACTGCCTGCTTATACGTGTAGTGTCTGTCTGTTTTGTTTTCAGCCCCAGTTGGAATGAAGGGTGTTTCCTGCCAGCAGGCGCACCTGTTCAGCGGTTACCAATCAAGCCTGACGTTTATTTCAAGACTGCCAAAGTCTTGTCAGATTATTGACCTTGGTCGCTGTTGTGTTGTTTTCTAGACCCCCTGAATCTCTCCATAGTTGCTCTCGTATTTCATAGATTCTTGTTTGTAAGTATTATTTTTTTCTTATTAGTTTTGATCTTTGGCTTCGCTGTATTGGGTTCATCACATTTCGTTTGTTTATTCTTGGTGTTCCCCAGTACCTTGCCTTTTGCAAGCGCTTTTTGCTTCTGCATTGTTTCTCCTGGTTCCTTGTGACCAGAGATTTCTGTTTGTACTTTGTCGGTGTGCTTTTCTGTCAAAAAATGTTTTTTTTGTCGCACTTTGTCTCAGCCTGCATTTCTGGAATCCAAAAACATTATTCGGTTCAGTCCAGAACCTGACAATACAGTAGGAGGGTGCATCTCCTCATAGCTATTAACGAATAATTAAAGAAGACTTATTACTAAAATAAGTCTGTTTCATTTTTTCAAATGAAAATGACAGAAACAACATAACATTGTTCTTTAAAAAAAAATCTC